GCGTGTGCCTGTGGAGGCCAGGAAAAGATGTTAGACTGCCTGAGGCTGGTGTTGCAGGTAGTTTTGAGACTGAAACCAAACTCTGCTCTATGAGAAAGTAGCAAGTGCTCTTAACTACTTAGCCATCCCTTCAGTCTCCTAGAACAACAGTAGTTTTGGGGGAATGAGTTCGTGTTAAGAGCTGTGTTGAGTTTCACATGCACTAATCTGCTCCTTCCAATACCTTTGCTGGAAGAGTGTTGGTACTACAACTGATGGAGCCAAGGTTCAGAGAGGTATAGGTATAACACAACATCCATAAGTAAGCACTGGAACAGTGTTTGAGTTGTAACTTCAAAGTTGGTATGCTTCTAATGATTATTGTCAAATTTATTAAGTCATTTAAAGGCTAAGCAACAAGAAATTCACAAAATTAAATAATATGGTGTTTGAAAATATGAGAAATTGCTTGATTAAAATGGAAGTATAAGTCTCATGTATAAATTCTGCAAATTTTACTGTTTTTCTTTTCTAAAACATTGTGTGTGTGTGTATGTGTGTGCGCACGTGTGTGCGTGTGTGTGAGCCCACACACGCACATGACGTATGTGGGCAATGCATGTGTCACCGAGCACAGGTGGAGGGCTGAAGACAACTTTGTGCAGTTAGTGCCCCTCTCCCACCTTTACATGAGTTCTAGGAATTGAACTTACCACTTCTGTTGCAAGCTTCTCTACCCCCTAAGCAATCTAACCAGTTTAAAATTTTTATTTACAAAAGAAAATATTGCAACTTTTGGTTGTTTCCTTGGGACAGTCTTGATATATTGCTCAGGCTGGTCTTGAACTTACGATATAGTCCTATTTGTTTACGATGAAGATTGTCCTGCCTCAGTCTCTAGAGTGTTGAAATTACAGGCTTGTGCTACCACACCCAGCTTTATATTGTAATAATAAAATCATAAGTAATCTGTTGCAATTCTCCCCCACCTCAGGTTTTATTCTGAAAGTGTTTAGCATTGCTGAAGTCAACAAAGCAGTGGAAACTGGATCAGAGAATGGCAAATACCTATGTCACTGCGTCTGATGGGTATTGTCTTGCTGAACCCGCACAGCATTTCGGTATGTAATAAGAAATGTAGTAGATCTGTTAAAACATTGTGTGTGTGTGTGTGTGTGTGTGTGTGTGTGTGACTGGAGAGATGGCTCAGCAGTTAAACTAAGCTAAGCACTCAGACCAGACTCTGATTCCCAGCTCCCATAAGCTGTCTCACAACTTATGTCCCAGTTCCAGAGGGTTCAGTCCCCTTCCCTGGCCTCTTCAAGCACCAGGCCACACCAGAAGTGCACAGACATATATTAATGCAAAATTCTCTCACACACAAAATAAATAAATCTAAAAACGTATTTAATTAAAAATTAACTTGCAAGAATTGAAGTTAGTTTTAAGGACAAATAGAGGTGAACTTTTATGTTAAATTGAACCTGAACTAAAGGTTCCTTGAAAAAAATTGTAAAGATTAGTTACTTACTCTCTATTTTACGTGTATGTCTCTGTGTGACTGAGTGGGTCTTCTGTGTAACAAGAGTGCAGGTGCCTGGGAAGGTGAGAAGAGAATTATACCAAGAGGCATCTCTCTGTATGACTTGGATGGGCAGGTGTTTGCAAAGTACCAAGGACATTTCTAGATAAGGAGCCCAGGCAATGGCCTAGTTAACACAGAACTTATGGGGCATGGCTGTGGTCAGCCTGCCTCTGGGCCTGTGTGTGGGATGCTGAATGTGTTCTTACTGTGTCTGTAGCCTTCTCTGCTTAGGGCTTTGCTTCCTAGAAGACTTGTTTCCAAGAGGGACAGATTTCCCACTTATGTGTTGAGACAGTAACCATACATAACAAAGGAAATGCAAAAAGTAGGGGAAAAATCAATTTAAAATCTGGGATATATTTCCTTTTCCCTAAGGAGAGAGACTAGATTAGTGTATCCACCACTAGCAACTAATGCCTTGTCTTCTGGCTCCTAATCCACCTCTGTACTCTTCTGGGGTGATAGCATCTATTCGGGATTGTAGTTCTATATAATATACTGTGCTCCTATTATGTTAGACAGGAAGCCCTAATTTGCAGTGTTGAACTAACATTCTGTTGAACATAAAACATTTTGAAGTTTGAAAACAATTATGAATATTTGATATTTATTTATTTATTCTTTTTTTTTGTATTAATTAAACTAGATATTTTGCCAGAACAAATCCACTACCAGCTGTGTGACACTGATTTCCAAGACCCACCCTATTGTCCGTATTCTACTGCTCAGTTCCCTCCAGCTCTACAGCCCCCATCTTTACAAAGCCATTTCAGCACTTACTGCTTGGATCCACACTACGGTGGTGGCGGTTGGAGTGGACTTGATGCTCGTGAATCGAGTCAGTCCACTTACGTGGTTGTTCACAATGAGGAGGATGGATTCCCTGGCATACAAAGGTCCAGACCAACGTGTTCTTTCCGCTGGAAGGGGCAGGATGAGCTCTGCGTGGTCTGCGGTGATAAGGCGTCTGGATATCACTACAACGCACTTACTTGTGAAGGCTGCAAAGGTAAGGGCTAAGTCACAGCAGAACAGACAGCACTGCACACTTCTGGTGTGCACACACAGGCAGAACACCCACACTTGTAGAAAACACTTCAGAAAACTTGAGCAATCATGGCTTCTCGGCCTTTGGGCTAAGATCAAGTGTAAGCCATGAGGAACAAAACCAGGCAGAAGCAAGTTTAATGGGATCAATCTGTATCAAAGGCAGGAGAATAAAATGTTAAGTTTAGGGTTAGTTTCTCTCTTTCCTTGCTTTCCTTCCTTCTGTCCTTCCTTCCTTTATTCTTTCTTTCTTTTCTTTTTTTTTTTTTTTTTAAAACAGGGTCTCAGTATGTAGACCTGGTTGGCCTAGAACTCACTATGTAGACCAGGTTGGCCTTGAACCCTAAGAGATCTGCTTGTTTCTGCCTTCTAAGTGCTGGAATTAAAGGTGCTGGCATGTACCACCATGCCAGATCCTAGGGTTAATTTCTTTCCTCCCCCTCCCCTTCTTCTTCTTCTTCTTCTTCTTCTTCTTCTTCTCCTCCTCCTCCTCCTCCTCCTCCTCCTCCTCCTCCTCCTTCTTCTTCTTCTTCTTCTTCTTCTTCTTCTCCTCCTCCTCCTCCCTTTTTGAGACCAGGTCTTTCTATGCAGTCCTGGCTGCCCTGGAACTCATTGTAAAGACCAGGCTCTCCTTGAACTCGCAGACATCCACCTGCCTCTGTCTCCCAAGTGCTGATACTAAGGGCCTTCCCTGCCTCTTCATTTTTGATGAGGAGTTTCACATTTCAGTATCAAACTCAATACATACAAGAGAAGGTTTTCCTTTTTCCTGGAAGAATTTGATGCTGGAACAAAACATGACCTTTTATTAAGCTCAGAAAGTTAACCGTGACATCTTTTTATGTGGATGAAATAATTTACACTTTTGGAGAAAATCTGAAATAAATGACTTCTCTGATTCTAAGTCAAAAGATTTTTTTTTTCTTTGTAAAGAAAGAGAAGAAATTGAAAGTCTGGATGCAAAAGGCAGTGTTTGTGAAGAGTGAGTCTTCAATTCTAATGGTTATAAGCAGTCCGGCCCTTCCTTAACCAATAAGCATGGGGATGGGAATGCAGGCAGGCGCCAGGGCACTTAGCACCTTTAGCACCTCATTTTGTATTTGATCCTAGCACCCTCAGAAACTAACCATTCCAAACAACAGAAAACAGTTAGGGCAATGTAACATAAACAAACATGTATGTTCAGGGTAAAATTTTACCTCTAAGTCTTCTCAAAACTTGCAAAGAATTGCCAAATGGAGACTACAGGAAATGAAGTAACAGCATCCTGAGTAGCTGGGCAGGGCAAGGCTGCTTTTGAATTCAGCATCTCACCGCTGAAACTGAGTGGAACGAGGCACAGTTTTGAAAACCGAAGCTGAGCTTTTATTTTGTTGAATTGAAATCATGCAACAACTCTCTCAAGTGTCTACCGACAGTGAATATGTGGCAGAACTTTAGAAGGGGCATTGACTAAGCTGGCAACCTCGCTGGAGCGAGCAGAAAATGGCAGGGATTGCTCTTAGGATAAGGTGTGAAGCTGGAGAGGGAAGAGAAGGGCTTTCTCCTCAGAAGCGGAAGTGCTCCACAAGGGGGCGGGACAATCTGGAGGGGCGCTCCTGCCTTTGTGGACTGAAATCAAAACGTGGGGGTCTTAGGAAAGAGAGGCTTTTCTGACATTTTTGTTTTAGATGTTCACATAGTCTATCAAAGGAACCTTGAGTGATGCTTTGTGGGATCTTGATATTCTGTAAAAGTTTTAAAAATTCTTACAGGTAATTTACCTATAGTAGAATAGTCATCTTAATGTGATAATCTCCAGATGTTATAGCGTAAGGGACAACCTCATCAAGGACTGAGTACACCGATTGGAAAGAATTAGGTAACATTCCAGATAAATGTATATTTAAGAAATACACATTTTATTTTATTGAAATAATCTAGTTAACTTGATTACTTTATTATGAAGGTAAAATGTTAATAAAATGAGCAGTAGCTAAAAATATCAATATTAAACTTTGAAAACCTTTGTCCTTAGGTTTTTTCCGCCGTAGCATCACCAAAAATGCAGTCTACAGTTGCAAGAATGGCGGCCACTGTGAAATGGATATGTACATGCGTAGAAAATGCCAAGAGTGCAGACTGAAAAAGTGCAAGGCAGTGGGGATGTTGGCAGAATGTAAGTGCCATTGTGTTTGTGGCTTGGTTTTGTTTTTCTGAGGGGGATTCGACTTTTTTCCAGCTTTAATTACCTGGCAAAGAAGTCACCATGATCACGCAGGTGGTTTCCCGGGGCAGGGCTCACCCATTGCACCGGGGTGTGCTGACCCCTAGGATTTCCACAAATGTGGGAAGCTCAGCTGCATAATTTGTATTGGTGGTGGTGGTGGGGGCTGCTTTCACATTCCCCTCTGTACAATAACATTGAATTTAAAAATAATAAAATATCCAGGTGGTGATGGCTCATGCTTCCAATCCCAGCACTCGGGCAGAGGCAGGTGGATCTCTGTGAATTTGAGGCCAGCCTGGTCTACAGAGGGAGTTCTAGGATAGTCAGGGCTGTTACACAGAGAAACTCCATCTCGAAAAACCAAAAAATAAAAATAAAATAAAAAATTCCAGCCTTATTGAGAGTAAAGCATTTTCTAAGAGTTAGTTTGAATATTGTCATGTTTGTTTACATATGGACACATGCACACCACACACATGTGTACATTCATTGCTCAGTATGGATGGCATTTTAAATTTAAGTAGTGATTTCCATAAATTTTTCTCTGTACTATTTTGCTCTAGTTTTGGAATCAGTCAAAGATTCGTTTTAATTAGAAGTTCTTTTGGGGCTGGAGAGTTAGCTCAGCAGTTAATGGCACTTAGTGCTCTTGCCCAGTTTCTAGTCTGAGTGGCAATTATTCACAGCCCCAGTTACAGAGGATCCAGCACCCTCTTCTGACCTCTGCAGGAACCAGGCGTGCAAGCAACACACCACATAAAATAAAATAAATATGCACAATAATTTAAATGATCTTGTATTTTTACGTTACTTAACTTAAAATTATATACTGAGTGGGGAAAGTGCAAAATTTAAAGTTAGTAGTTCTCAAAAGCCTTCCTAATATTCAGGTATATACAGCCCATTATTAGTTAACACATGGCTATCGGGACCTGTCTCCAACTACCCTTAGAGATTAGCACGTTAATGTATGAGGTTTGGGGGACACAATTCAGTCCGAAGAAACCCTGGAAAAAATTGTCTTTTATTTATTAATTTATTTTATAGACAGGATCTCACTATGTAGCTGTCCTGGAGCTTGAGAAGTATGCCAGGCTGGCCTCAAACTCATCGAAATCCCCCTGCCTCTGCCCTCCAAGTGCTGGGATTAATAACATCTGCCACCATACCTGGACCAAAAGTTGCCTTTTAACCTGTGTGAGAAAATGCTTGTGAGAGGAACTTGAATCTTCTGAGGGACTCTGTAAGCAAATGAAGCACCCTTTGCTGTAACTTCAAGGAACTCTTGTAAGCAGAGGCTGTGCTTTGTTTCCTGGCCATGCAGACCCGAATAATCACACGAAAACTGGATTACTTACAACATTATTTGGCTGACAGCTCAGGCATATTTCTAGCTAATTCTTACACCTTAAATTAACCCACTTTTATTATTTTATATTTTACCATGAGGCCTGTGGCTTGTTACCTCTTGCCTCTTGGGTGACTACATGGCATCTTTCTCCTTCGGTAGCAAATGGCGTCTCTTTGATTCCACCTACTCTCTCTCTATATATCTCTGTTCAGATTTCCCGCCTGGCTTTATTCTGCCCTGTCATAGGCCAAAGAAGCTTCTTTCTTTATCAATGGTAATAAAACATATTCATAGCATACAGAGGGGAATCCCACATCAAATCGTGGCAAGATGAAGCAAAAGAATCGATGAGCATAATTGCTGAATTGGTGAACATAAGCCTTATTCACGTTATTCTTGCCATCCATATCCTGCCGCCATTGCTGTAGCTCCTCACACCACGTTTACCCAGTTGGCCTAATACTGTCGTGTGTTAGTACTTAGAGCATCCCTTCCTCTTCTCCACTTCCTCCCCTTCTCTTCTTCCTCTTCTTTCTCCTTTTCTCCTCTCTTCCCCCCCTCATCCTTCTTCTCCTCCTTTCCCCCTCCTTCTCCTTTTACTCTTCTTCCTCCTTAGTTTGCCTTCTTGTGGCATTGAAGGTTGAGCTCAGGTTTCCCACATATTTTACAATCTACCAATAAGCTACACCCATAGACTCCTTTTCTACTTAAAAAAAAATTGAAGACAGGTTCTGTCCAAGCTTCCAAGGCTGGATTCAGTGTGTGATCCTCTTGTTATGGTCTCTTGAGTAGCTGGGTTACCGTTGTGTACTACCATGTCCAATACCTGGTAGGTTTAAAATGGTTGCCTATTTTTGGGTATTCTTGTCCTCTGACAAATAATAATATAGAAGGATTTTAAGGTTTGTGGTATATTTCAGTTCCTCATTTATTTTTATTTAATAGGTGTGTTTTAAATATTTATGAATATGACAGGTATATTGATACTTGTATAATTTTGACAAGTGACTTATGGTAGCTGTTACTGGTCCAGTAAAGGCACCAATGGACAATTAAACATTCTATAAAATCATCGTCAGGCTGGAGAAAGAGCTCAGCATTTAAGAACCTGCACTGCTCTTGCAGAAGACCTGAGTTCAGGTCCCAGCACCCACATTGTGGGGCTCACAACCGAGAATAATTCCAGCTCAAGGGGATATGACTCTTCTGGCATCTGTGGTCACCTGCAAACATGGGTATATAATCACACACAAACTCATATAAAGAATTAAAAGTAAATCTTTAAAAACAAACAAACAACAATTCTCAAATGAATATTATTCACATTTGAAAAATAACTAAATGCTTTGTCTGGCTTGGAGGAAAAATTGACTTAGCTTCTTTTGAAAATCCTAAGAGAGTCTTTCTTAGTAAGGCTGGAGATAAAAGTTATAGATAGGTAATTCTACTATTCTGTAAAGTGACAATCTCATTTCCAAGATGCAATTAATGTGTTAATTTTTTGTGTAAAAATCTACACATAATTTGGAAATCAAAAATTAGCTCTTAGTTTTTGTCTGGTATGATTGTATTTCAAGGAGACATTATAGCCATGAAGAGAAAGTAATACTGGACAGTTAGTTAAAGCACACAAGCACAAGAGACATCTATGATCGTATACTCATTTAAGACCATTTTCAACAAATCCTACAGTGTTATCTTCTGAGACAAAAATGCTTTGTGTGAATTTTGTAACATCACAGGTTTGCTCACAGAGATCCAGTGTAAGTCAAAGAGGCTTCGCAAGAACTTCAAGCAGAAGATTGTCCCCTACTTGGACGTCCAAGGGGAAGATGACGGAGCAGACAGCAAGTTTGTATCATCCACCACCAGAACTGGAAAAGGGGCAAGACCTTTCTTCCATGCCATCTGCTGTTTCTTTATTGACAATGGGTGTGACAGGCACACCTTACGGGTGCCCTCTGTTTTCTTATAGGTTCAGGAAAGCATGACACTAACTCAAGAGGAACATCATCTTATGAATACCATAGTGACTGCTCACCAGCAATCCACGGCCCCACTAGGGGAAACAAGTACGCTTGTATGTATCCATCACTGGCAAGAGATAACTTGTAATGACTCTTATTAGGAAATGATAGCAAAAATTGTTAAAATGTCAGTAATTATCTGAAAGAAAATACTATTTATCATTTTGATTTCTTTTTTATGGATTAGCTGCAGGAGTATTCCAACCCTGAACTAAGTTTTCTGAGACTCTCCGAGGCAGCAGTCCTGCACATACATATGCTGGTGAATTTTACCAAGGGACTCCCAGGTAAAACTCTGTTTCATTATTTTTTAAAGATTTATTTTTATTTTTGGTGTTATGCATGTTTTGCCTGCAAGTATGCATTCATACCATGTATGTTGAAATAAGGAGCGGCGGGGCTGCGTCCCCAACACCCCAGCCGCTTGGCTAGCTTATGCCCGAAATAACAACACACAAACTGTATTCATTTAAAAACTGCTTGGCCCATGAACTCTAACCCTTACAGGCTAATTCTCGCACCTGGACTAGCCCATTTCTAATGATGCGTGTAAGCACCCCAAGGTGCGCTTACCGGGAAGATTCTAGCCTCTGTCCATCCTGGGAGAGTGGAGCATGGCAAGCATGGCTTCTCTGCTCCAGAGCGCAGAGCTGTCGAGTCTCTCCGGGAGAGCTGAGCAGATTCTGACCTCACTTCCTCTTCCTCCCAGAATTCTATTCTGTTTCCTCCTCCCATCTATGTTCTAAGCTATGAGGCCAAGCAGTTGGTTTATTACTTAACCAATGAAATCAACAGATTGATATATGACACTCCCATATTACATGTACGCACCATATCATGGAGGTCAGAAGAGAATGTGGGATCCCGTGGAACTGGAGTTACTGACGGTTGTGAGTCACCATGTGGGTGCTGGAAACCAAACCCAGGTCCTCTGCAAGAATAACAAATGCTCACAACCACTGAGCCAGCTCTCCAGCCCCAAATTCTCTGTTTTGAAGGGAAAGGTGTAGCACAGCAAAACAAAACCTCCAATGTGAGACTGACTACACAGCTCAGGGGCAGGACACTCGTCTAATGTGGGGGAGGCCCTGGCTTCAGTAGAAAACTTTATATTCCCAGTAATGCTACTTCTAACTTAAGAAAAAAAGCTTATTTTATCTACTTCAATTAATCAGGTGGGTGTTAATCTAAATATTTACAAAATTTATTATAATGATGTAGTTTTTTTATTCAGATGAATCAGGAAACAAACTACTACAGTACTAGAACAAGTCACAGTTGACTAAAACCTAGTTATATATAACTCAGTTTCTTTATATTTGCAGGTACAATAGCTCACTGTAAAATTACATTCTTCAAGGCTAAAGCAGCTATATTTGATTTGTTATTGCTGGAAGAGAAGTGTCACCTAGTTCTGATGAAAGTCTAAAATATTACCACGTAGAATCAATATTTTTATTCAGATTTGAATTTATGTGTTGTGATTATTCCCAAGAAGCACTTAGGGATGATAGGTAAAGAAATATTTTTTAAACACTGAATTCATGAATATTACCTTTTCATTATCTTGTTTCTTCATGCTTTGTATTGTTCAAGGATTTGAAAATTTAACCAGTGAGGATCAGAGTGCATTGCAGAAGGAGTCGAAGACTGAAGTGATGTTCCTTCACGCAGCCCAGCTTTACAGCGGGAAAGAATCAACCTCTGGAAGTAAAAAGAAAAAAATATTTTCATCTAGCTTTCACATAGTCATGTGAAACTTAGCAACAAATTATGTAATATTAAGTATTCACATACACAAACACATTTTTAAACACTGGTTTTTGGAAATAGACTCTCATGTACCTTAGGCGTCCTAGAACTCACTATATAGCCAAGGATCATCTTGAACTCCTGATGCTCCTGCTTCTGCCTGCCAGCTGATGAGACCACTTATGCATGCTTCTATGCCTGGTGTATGTGGTGCTGGGGATGGGGCCCGTGGCCTTGTGTGTGTTAAACAAGAACTCTACTCATTGAGTGACATCACCAGCCTCTTTTTATTTTTTCATTTTATTTTACCAATTAGTGTAGAAACAAATTCCTCATGATAGCTGTTTATAAATCGTTTTCGAATATATTCATCTAGCATTTTTCTCTCAACAAAGTCATTCTTTTTAAAGTTGATTTTTTTTATTCTTGTGAGAATTTTTGTAAACAGAGACTGTTCTTTCATTCCCAGGCACCCTGACCTGAATATTCACACCGAAGCTATATTAATTACAACATTGTTTGGTCGATGGCTCAGTCATATTTCTAGCTAGCTCTTACATCTTAAATTAACCCATTTCTATTCATCTATGCATTGCCACAAGCTGTGGCTTACCGGCAAGGTTCTGGCATCCTTCTTCAACAGCTGCATGGCATCTCCCTGACACCATCTTCTTTCCTCCTCTATCTCTGCTTGGATTTTCTGCCTTGCTGTATTCTGCTCTGCTATAGGCCAAAGTAGCTTCATTATTAGCCAATGGTAATATTCATACCATACAGAGGGGAGTCCCACATCAGAATTTCATACATGTATACAAATTTTTTCAATCACACTCACCCCACTTTCTCCCCCTCCAACTCCCCCAGGATCCCCCACATATCTTTCTCCTAATTTCATGTCCTCCCCCACCCTTCTTTTTTTTTTAAATATTTATTTATTATGTATACAATATTCTGTCTGTGTGTATGCAGGCCAGAAGAGGGCACCAGACCTCATTCCAGATGGTTGTGAGCCACCATGTGGTTGCCGGGAATTGAACTCAGGACCTTTGGAAGAGCAGGCAATGCTCTTAACCGAGCCATCTCTCCAGCCCCCCCCCCCCACTCTTCTTAAAAATAATCCAGTGACTCTAATTAGTGCTTGTATGCACATAGGTGTGGGCTTATCCTCTGGAGGTTGTCAACTTTGAGGAACCAGGCCCCTAAAGAAAGAAACTGTATTCTTTCCGCACAGCAGCTGTCAACAGCTCCTTGGCTTGGGTGGGTGGGGGCTTCTGTGCTCTTAAGCCTGGCTCTTCTAATGGGGAGGACTTTAACAGGTGTTAAAACATTAAGGCGATGATGATTCTAAGAGCTCTGGGTGAAGGCTGTGTGCTTGCTTTGAAACTCACAACTATAGGCTACTTATCTGAAGAGCACCTCTGTGGTGGAGTAAAGTAGGCTAGTGTTGAATCTACTATCCAGTACCCCACTTCCACAAATACACACACACACACACACACACACACACATTTTGGTATTTCGAGACTGGGTTTCTCTGTGGCTTTGGAGCCTGTCCTGGAACTGGTTCTTGTAGACCAGGCTGGCCTCGAACTCACAGCGATCTGCCTGCCTCTGCCTCCCAAGTGCTGGGATTAAAGGTGTGTGCCATCACTGCCCAGCAGAAATATGTTTTGTTTTTTGTCTTTTTTTAAATCAATCAACCTTTTGAATAGAGCAGGAAACCCATCATTGTTCTAGTGTGTGCATGCAATAATTCAAAAGTTCTATGTTGGTTGAGAATAAGGGAAGAAGCAAAATAACAAAAACAAAAACAACAAAACATTTTGCCAGCAATGTCAGCTGCCTTCACTAGCTGCACTTGCTACAGTGCTAACTGTTAGGCTGGGAGCCTAGGCCCCAGTCCCTGGCATCCATCTCAGCCACCAGGCCTGGCCTGGACTTCAAATCCCAGGAGGCCAGTCCTGACTCCTCCCTGGGGGTGGGGTCAGGACCACTCCCCAGGATACTTAAGTGATCCCCCAAAAGAAGAACACGTGGTCCCCCTTTCTTCCTCCCGGGGGTCGTGTTCCTGTGGGGTCGTGTTCCTGTGGCTTCCCGGTTTCCCCCTCGGGGCCACCCGAGAGCGCAGATCTCACATTAAACCTGGATATTTCTTAATTCGGCCTGTTTTGATTTGGCTTGATTGGGAATTTTTGCGTCGTCAGAGAGCTCGCTTAGGAAATATTCCTAACACTAACCTTTTTTTAAAATTTATTTATTTTTATTTATTATGTATCCAATATTCTGTCTGTGTATATGTCTGCAGGCCAGAAGAGGGCACCAGACCTCATTGCAGATGGTTGTGAGCCACCATGTGGTTGCTGGGAATTGAACTCAGGACCTTTGGAAGAGCAGGCAATGCTCTTAACCACTGAGCCATCTCTTCATCCCCCCAGTGCTAACCTTTTTAAATTTACTTATTTATTGGTTGTTCTTCCCTGTATACACTAAACCATAAGGTTGTTAATGGGAGACTCCTGATATCCTGGTCGGTGATTGTTTGAATAGTGTTTGCTTTAGAGTCTCTGCAGCCTCTGATGCACTAGAGAGATGCTTGGAGGGTGTGTGTGCTTAAGAAAGATATTCTTTATAGTATCATGGAAAACTCATTTTGGAGGGTCTTCTCTACATTCTCTACAAAATATGAGCTATTAATCTGGTTTTACATTCCAGTAACAAAAATGCTAAAGATATTACTTTAGGGGATTGTTTTTCACATGATAGTTATGTTGGATTCTGAAAAGATAGCGAATTTACTCTATATAATGATTAGGGGAAAAATTAGAGTTTGTATTTTTCTCTTTTGCTAGGTACTATGAGACCATCAAAGCCCTCAGCTCCTACACGGAAAGCACATAATCAGGGCAGTGATGAAAATGTTTACTCTTTGGAAAACCTTTTCAAGGAAGGCGGTCCTTCTGCTACTCTAACTGGTAACATCTTGCAACACAAAGTATCATACTGGGTGGCCTTGCTTCCTTTTCTCCCTTCTTTTAATTTTATTATAAGGAGAGTGCCATGGGCTCTTCTCACAGTTGCTGGTTTGTCTGCTGAGAGTGTTTCAGTGGTGAAACCCTTTGTAGACACAGCCACTGCATTTGTTAATGTTAGACAGGTCACCAGTGAGCGTTCTGTTTGTAACCATCTTCTTTTGGCTACAACACTGCAATTCTTTCCATATATTGGCGAGAAGCTTTTGAATTGTTCCTTGTGGGTGCTTTTCAAAGTTTCCTAGGATGCTGATGTCATATACAGCCAACATCACAGCATCAACCACTTTTATGTGTAGAAGAGTGAGCCTTACTGTGGATAATACAGAAGTTCCCAGAGAGGGGCTTCTGCAGGCTAAAGGCTTTCAGTCCCACAGCCTCCTAGTTGGTCCACGTGGTGACCCCCCTGCCATTGTTCTGGTCTTTCTCAACTGCCCACCTGATGAGTCCACCCCTGAGGTTCAGGCATGGCCTTCAAGAGCACAGCAAAGGGAATTGTTCTTGTTGGCTGTCACAGAGGCAGCCATCCTGAGTCCCACCCTTGCTTCATTTTTCTTAGATTTGCTTGCGAGAAAGAAAGATAATCACAATTTGTTTGCGTCTGTTACATCCTGATGAAAATACACTTATATTGATTTTTTTAGGTATTACTAAAGAATTCATTGCCTCACTGTCCTACTTCTACAGAAGAATGAGAGAACTTAATGTAACAGATACTGAATATGCTCTGCTTACAGCGACAACAGTGCTTTTTTCAGGTAAAAACTGCCAGCTTTAAGGCACTGGGGGACATCTGCGCGGGATCATGAAGTTGCTGGCTATTAATCTGCTCACTGAAGTCGAATGCACTGATCATTCCATCACAGTTTGCTCGATGAGACTCCTTTAAGCTCTCCGCGGTGTTGTAATTTCCTGCATCTCAAAATGGCTTTTCTGCCCTCCTGCCCTCTTGGATACCCTCTCCCAAGCCCCTGAGAGAGAAAGTTTCTTTAGGGAGTTAGCTATAATCTAATCTCCGTTTTACTCCTTTTACTCTTGAATCCTCTACAGTCAGATTTCCCTCCATCCTGTCCAGTTCACCACTGAAGTCAATAGCTTCAGGTTCTTGGCATTGCTGATCCTACAGGTCAGTTCTCCTCCGTCTTCATCTTACTCAACCTATTATGTTTGGTAGAGAAGCTCATAAGCACTTAAAAGAAAGCAATAGGACTTCCAGTTTCCTGTGAGCTTTCGGGTGGAGTTTTGTAGCTACGATGAAGATCTCTGGTGTGTTGAGAGGACTCCTCACGCTTTTTGTGTCAATTCATCATCTTCTTGACATGATGTAGTCTGCTTTACACACTAGCTTCAGGTTAAAGTGAGACAGTCGCTCAGCATGGGTACCACATCGCTTCAGGCCACTGAAATCTTCCCAGGGTACCACTGCCCCTTCTTGATTGATCAGGCAGGACATATTTGTGTTCTTTTTTATTCTAACTTTCTGAGGCATCACGGTTCAAGAAGGCTCACTAGGCATGCTCATTGAAAGAGCAATCATGTAGGCTCCAGGGCAGCCAGATTTCATTATCCACTTTCTCGTACTGGGTAGCAGTGTTTACAGTCATCTGAACTTGGCTATTTGGAAAACCAGCTCAGAGTGCTACTTAGGAAAAGTTCACCCTGGTTGGACCATAGAAGTCTTCTTTCTTTCAGTTCAGTTTAGGAATTCAGCTACAAAGTCTGCATGGAGCAGTAGCTTAGAGCTCAGGTGTGCTGGCTGTCTGATGATTCCACTGTCTCTTAGAAGTGGGACTAAAAATGTGAATGACCAACATCCTTTACACTTCTCAGTGGGATCTTCTAAAACAAGGAATATGCCATACTCTCTGTCTGTAAGAATGTTTTCAGTGGGGCACAGGGCTCGCCTAAATTATACATTTGTCATTAAGATACACTTTTCATTGAGGTTTTATGGCGAGAAGAACTTCATCACCTTTATCTCTCCCTTCAGTTGATTCTTGTTTAATGTCTGTTCTCAGGGCTCAGATATTTATTCCCAACAACTTATCCTTTCATGATCTTGGCACTCCTTCTCACTGTTAGGTGGAAATGTTAGGTTCTCCTTGCAGACTGTAGTCCAACCAACACCGTGTTGCCACCTGTGTTGATACTCAATACCACAAACAGAACCAAAACTGTGCAAAAACTGTAAAAAAGCCTGACAGTCTCAAGACGTTTCCACTCCAAACCAAACCACCCGACCACTAACTCATATGGGTGTTTTCTTTTGTTAGCCATTTAAAAATATTTATTTATTTGAGTGTGTGTATTTATGTATGTGTGTGTGTGTTTGTGCGTGTACATATCACATATGTGGAAGTCAGATGACACCCTATGGGAGTTGGTTTTCTTGTTCCATCATGTGGGTCCTGGGGATTGTACTCAGATAGTCAGGCCTATCTGATTGAGGCATCCCACCAATTTTGAGAGCTTTTTTTGTTTCACTGAATCTCAGGAACACCACTCCCTGCTTGTTGGCAATTCTGTGTCTCCTTTATTCTGCCCTCTTCATCTCTCACAGTGATAAATATTTAAGTTGCTCTAAGACTCAGTTTTCTTTTCTTTCTTTTTTTCTTTTTCAAAAAAGATTTACTTATTTATTATGTATACAGTATTCTCAGTATTCTGTCTGCATGTATGCCTGCAGGCCAGAAGAGGGCACCAGATCTTATTATAGATGGTTGTGAGCCACCATGTGGTTGCTGGGAATTGAACTCAGGACCCTTGGAAGAGCAGGCAATGCTCTTAACCACTGAGCCATCTCTCCAGCCCCTCAGTTTTCTTTTAAATTAACTCATTATTTTATGAGTATGTTTTGTCCGCATTTGGTGCACCATGGTGTGCCTTGGGCTGCTGAGGTCAAAAGATGCCAGATCTGATAAGGCCCTGTTTTCTTCAGTACTCACTTCCTTCATGACTTCACCCTATCTCTTGGCATTAAAAGTCAGTGTGCATCTGATACTCGCAAACTTATCTGCCCACTTGGTGTGCTCCCCCAGACCTTATTAAATAGACTCCTTAAGATTTCCATGTGCCTGTTGAGCAGATACTTTAAATTTAAAATGCCAAAAGC